GTGTGTATTTGTAATTTTATTGAAAATATAATAATTTATATAAAATATCAAGGTATATGTAATTTGTGTGTGTGTGTGTTCGTGTAACATATTATATATATATACATATATTGAATTTATATATCTATATATATATATATGATATATATATATATATTATTTATATATATAATTGTTAATATATATACATATTATATATATATGTATATATATATATATATATATACTATATATATATTATATATAATATATATACAGATATATTATATATCTATATATTATATATATATATATATATATATATATTATCTATATATATATATATATAATTATATGTTGTGTGTGTGTGGTGTGTATATATATCTATATATATAATATATATATATATATATATATATTATATATATATATATTATATATACTATATATATTATATGTGTGGTGTGTGTGTGTGTGTGTGTTGTGTGTAACCGTGCATTATATCGGTATTATAATGCCTCGTGGCCCCCACATGGAGGCTTAGCAGTGGCCACGTGGCGCACGCCCTGGCTACCAAGCGGCGTGCCCGACAACGGCTGGGTAGTCCTCCTCGCCTCTCCCCCAAGCCGTGTCTCGGAGACTTTTGGACCCGGTCAGTGAGAGTTTAACCCGGCCGCGTTTCAAGTCACAGCAGCCCTCTTGGATGTCTGCCGTTGAGGTGACTCGCGGTGACAACCCAAGATGACCAGCCCTAACCCGAGACTGTCATCGTTGTGTTTATCCACTGAGTGCTGGAACTCTTATCAATAAAGGTTTTTAAGCCACCAAGCTTTTACTATCCTGCCCCAATTGTTAAGAAGTCCCTTGTGTGTGTGTGTGTGTGTTACATATTTATATAAATTTGTTTATCTATTTTTTTCTATTTACTTATGTGTGGTTCATAAAATATGTACATGTTAAATGAGGAGTAAAGCATTAGGGACAGCTCTATCGTAATCGAGTTCGGTTATTAATAATCGTAGTAATAGGAGAATATCTCACACTGGCTGAACACAGGCATCGCAGTATGTATTACATTCCTTTTTCACCGGGGGGGGTGACAGTGCGCTGCAGGCCGTGCGCACGTGGCGAGAGTGTAGCGTGGAACACTTAACCGTCGAAGGAGTGCCCATATTTCACGTCGGTCTGCAATCTCGCGCACTCAGGTATTCGCAGACCATGACAAGATCGCCCGGCGTACGCTGCGTGAGTTTGGTTTCCCCGAGGCGAAATTTCGACTTTCGGTTTCTCTCCGCCGTTGCTTCTTCCTTACTTCCATCTTCTTCCATTCCAGTATTATGTAAATTTTATTATTGATGTGGTTTGGTCGTTATTTATTGTGTTATTTGTATTAACATCATTACCAATCAGTAATGGATGGGTTGTAATATCAGGGTTACTGATTATCTGGTGATGTACTGAGCATCTGCATGTCACATGCAGATGCAGAATCCACATAAACAATCAGGTGCGCCGACCACAAACAACATTCTCTTTTTCCAAATGTCAAGTGAAACTTCAAGTGAAACAAAATGACTGAACTTATTGGATGATGAAAGGCATAGACACGTTTTGTCGTCATCCCTATCGTGTGCCCTTTTCCGAACTTTAGCCTTTTTTTGTAACATTTCCGAAACATTTTGATACATGTTTGTCCTTTACGCTTACTTATTGAAAACCTGTGAATTTCTTTTCAGTTTGTATCAGAGTGTACTGCCTTCACCCTTATATAGCGAGATATTTTTCAAATATATTTCCCGCAATCTAAGAAGGGATTTATATTTTTATTAATTACAAATCCTCTTGAGTTTCTTGATAAAACTTTTTATTGTAAAGGTGAATAAAAATGGTATGTGTCTTTCTACCTTCTAGCAATACATCAAATACATATTTATAACCATATAGGTAAGAATTGAAGTCAATCATGAGACGGTCGCTGGA